CCGGGCGGTTCGGATTTGTCTGCGCTGAACCGCCGACATGAACAATCCCATACATTCATACGGGGACCATTCATGCAACCGCGCGGCTCTGCGCGATCCGAACCGCCTGCCGCCCAAAATGCTCCCTGACCTACTTTTTTCAGACTTTAAAGCAGAACTCTGGGGTCAAATCTTAACCCTTACAGTGGGCCCACGCATCAAGGGTTAGGTGCTCATTTTGTCTAGGGGGCTAAAAAAGAAAGTTATACTCACCCGAACTACGATCCTGGATGGCTCCTAGACCAGTCCGTTCAGCCTTGCGCCCCCTCCGCTTCGGCGGCCTAAGGTCATGTGCACGGCGTAGAGGACGTGAGGATGCAGAGGGACATACCATCGTTGGAGCGGAGGAAGAGACAGGCTGGAGGGAGCGATGTAGGAGCCAGCCGGGATCGCAGTTCGGCTGAGTATAACCTTAATTTAGCGCCCTAGACAGAATGAGCACTTAACCCTTGCACTGCAGGGTAGCCCCACTGCAAGGGTTAAGATTTGATTTGCTTCAAGTTAAAAAGCATTGCTCAACTTTCCAAACAGAAAACTGATTAGCAGCATGAACGGAACTAACAATCTGCTGCGTCTAAAACTCTCCTCTGGCTGCTGGTCCATAAGGACTTGAGATGTGAAACTAACAATAACTAAAGCTCAGTTCTCAGATATTTAACCTCTTCCCCACCAATCAGATCGCAGGAAAAAAAGACACGACTTGTCCTCCGGAGTGCGGATGATACGTCTCCAACCATCCCTTTCCCATGGAACAAAAAAAATCCCCCCGATTTCCATGGTGACACAATTATCAAGCTATATGACAAACATAATGGGGAGTCACCACACTGACAATCTATATTTAGTTGCCCTGCGCTGCTTGTAACAAGATAAAATACACAAATTATGATCCGGGAAATAAAATTCCCCTCCGGGTCCATCGTTAGTACATTTAGGCAAATGAACGGCTTTCCTTCCGAATCATTCACATCAATCCTGTGACAGTTTCATTGCTGGTGATAGTTACAATCTGCTCCCGTCCACAACAATCTATACAAGCTCCCGGATGGCAGAATAGAATCTTCCTCTTGGGAGCTTTAAATCTGAGTCAATCTAAACAAGCGGGATCGGTCAACGCTGCTGCGGCAATTATTTATGGAGCAGAACAACAGAAATGAATATTTTCTAATAGAGAACACAACAGCAAAAGTGATCTCTTCCGAAACTTAGAACTCTTTACTAAAACTTTATTCCTAAAATACATCAATGTAAATTCAACATATATCCTATATGTATATGAGTAATGACACCCATAGGCGTATGTCAACGTATATGGTCCTATATGTATATGAGTAATGACACATATAGGGGTACTGCAATGTATATTGTCCTATATGTATATGAGTAATGACACATATGTTATGTTGTTCTTGCTACTCCAATAACAATATAAATATCTTTGAAATATAAATATTAGCACATATAGTGTATCATCAGTGTATGTATATAATATATATAATGACATATATAGAGGTACTGCAATGTATATTATATATGAGTAATGACACATAGCAGCACATTAATGTTTATCAGTAATGACACACATGCAATGTATATTTTTCTATATGCATAGGAGTAATGACGTGTATATATATAGGTGTACTGCAATGTATATTGTCCTATATGTATATCAGTAATGAAACATATAGGGGTACGGCAATGTATAGTATTCTATATGTACTATATGAGTAATGACACATATAGGGGTACATATAGGAATACGGCAATGTATACTGTCCTATATGTATATGAGTAATGACATTCATTGGGGTACATCAATGTATATGGTCCTATATGTATATGAGTAATGACACATATAGGGGTACGGCAATGTATATTGTCCTATATGTATATCAGTAATTACATTCATTGGGGTACATCAATGTATATTGTCCTACATTAGTCATTACATTTATTGGGGTACATCAATGTACATGATATCCACCCAAAGCTATATTTAGATTCCGATAGACATGGGTGGGTTGTCTCAGCAGCTTCAGTAGCTTTGCCCCAGCCATGAAGTCTCCCTCCTCCAGCTGCACAAAGGAGTCCTAACCCCACTTGCACTCTGGTAAAGTAAATATAAATCCAATCAGTAAAACCTCATATATGCTTCAGCATGTCACACATACAATAAAAACTAAAAAGTGACACAATTCCCCCCCCCCCACC